TGTAGTTTGAGTTTGCATGGTCCATTTTTCGCTATCTTCTTGGTTGCATTCTCTCTGATCCTTATATGTATTTATCATCTCACCAGTTATATTTTGTCTCATCTACATTTTTTTTTTCTTTTATCTTCTTTTGAATGATTTGAGTATTTTATTGTATTTTCTCCCTCTATTAACTTGTTAATAATGTATTCTTTTACTCCTTATTGCTGCACTAGGGAGTCTCAAGTCTTTTCTTGACTTGGTATAGTCTAATACAGTTTACTTCCCCAACACTGCTAGAATATTGGAATTACATAACTCTTTTTATCCCTGCCTTATGAGTTTGAAAGGTCATGATGCTTAGTTCTACATATATTTTAAACTTAATGGATATTACAGTTACCATTTTGTTCAGTCATTATTAATTTATATTCAGTGTAGAATTCATTCTTTTTCTGATGAATTTCCGTGTTTTCGTTGCTAAACTATTTGAATTCCCATTAGTATTTCTCTTAGTGTAGGCCTGCTATTAGCTAAGACCTTCAGATATTGTTATTTTGAAATGCCTTTATTTCACCTTAATTTCTCAGGGATATTTTTCAGTTACAGGTTTTAAGGCTGGAAGTTATTTTCTTTTAAGAAATCATACAATTTTTTCTGGCTTCCACCATTCTGTTTATTGCTATTCTTCTGAAGGTAATGTGTATTTGTTTACTTTGGCTGCTTTTTAGATTTTCCCTTTGTTTTGGGTTGCGTTTTTATCATGATACGCCTATAGATGATTTAGTTGGAATATATTCTGCTTAGAGTCCACTGATAGATACTGTTTATCAGTTGTAGAAAACTCTTGGCCATTGTTTATTTGACTCTGCCTCCTTCAGGAGCTCTGGTGGCATAGTAAGGCATTTGACTGCTAACCACAAGGCTGGCTGTTCAAACCCACTAGCCACTCCTCAGAAGGAAGATTGGGCAATCTACTTTCATAGAGATACCGCCTTGGAAACCCAAGGAGGGGTCGCTGTGAGTCGGGATCAACTCTATGGCAGCGAGTTTGGTGGTTATTGGTTTATGCTCCCTTCACCACTCTCTCTTCTTTTTCTAGGTTATAATTCCACATGTATTAGTTCTTTTAACTTATACATTTTTGTGTTCTTTCTTATGTTATTTTTATCCCATGCTTTTTTCTTAATATGTTTCATTTTGAATATTTATATGAACCTTCTGGTTCACTAGTCATTTCTGTCTTTGTATTCAGTATATTGTTAGACACATCTGAATTCTTTATTTCATATATTGTATTTTTCAGTTTCAGAATGTCCGTTTTATGGATTACTATTGTTTGTAGAAAATCTCCATTTTAAACAACTGTTTTGCCTATCTTTCCCTTTACTTTCTTGAACATATTAATCATAGCTGTTTTTAAGTCCTCGTGTGCTCACTGATACAATCTGGATCATTTGTAGGTCTGCTTCAATTGTTTATTATTTCTCTTGATTTTTGGTCATATAGTCTTGGCTGTTTTCATATGTAGTCATTTTTTATTGTGTGCTGGACACTGTGAATAGAATCCTAATGGTGCCCAGTGATTTTATCTTCAACTAGAGAGGGTCCCCATTTCTTCTCATAGACAGATAGGATAGACAACTTATGTCAACTATCAAGAATTCAGATAGGTCAGGACTGAGTTGTAGTTTTAGTAAGAAACTATCTCTGATTCACCCTATCCCTAGGATGTGTCTGTCCTTCAGGTCTTTCAACTGAGAGTCTGACAAGTATTTGTCTTCTCAGCCATAGAAGATTGTGGGAGGTTCCTTTTTGCCATTCAGAGTTCAGCCTAGCCCTTAGCCTTCTGCTTTATACAGCTTCATCTGCCTTTTGGCACATGTGATGAGGGGGAGACAGGCCATGTGTTTGAAGCCACATAAGTCTCCAGTTAGTCAGTGCAGCTCTGCATGAATGCCAGAGTCTCTGTTGGTTTCCCTGTTCCCTAGTAATGGCCTTCTTTCAGGGCCTATGCCTGGATTCTCAGCCTCAGGCTGTGCCCATCATTGATGAGCGCCCCCAGGTGAAAAGTGACTGTAGATCCTGAGTCTAAATTGACCGTGCCCTCTACAGCTTTCATCCTTTGCCTGTTTTGGTTTAGTACCCTCCCCTTGCAGATCATTCTTTTCTACTTATCGCAAGACTGGGAGATTGCACTACCTCTTTAGCCTCAGAATTCAGTCTTGTGAGGAAAATGGCCATATATTTGAGGCTTCTCAAGTCTCTGGTCTTACCACTCCAGCCCCATGCAAGAAGTTATACTGGTTTCTCTTTCTCCCAGCCTTGACCACTGGCTTGGGCCAAACCTTGATCTTCAACCCACACTCAGAATCAGGAAATGTCCCCAGATACCAAAACAGCTGTCAGTCCATCTGCTTACACCTGAAGGGTTCTCCCTCTCTGGAATTGCAGTCCATCTAGTCTGCTTTTTTCCCATACTTTTCCAATGCCTTTAAAATGGAAGTTTTTGTAAATTACTTGGCTATTCTAGTTGTTACCAGGAGCATTGACATGTTGTTGTTGTTGTTGTTGTTAAGTGCCGTCGAGTCGTTTCCGACCCATAGCGACCCCACGCACAGCAGAACGAAACACTGCCTGATCCCGCGCCAGCCCCACAATCCCTGCTGTACTTGAGCCCATCATCGCAGCCACTGTATCAATCCATCTCCTTGAAGGCCTCCCCCTCTTTTGTCGACCCTCCACCCTACCAAGCATGACATCCTTCTCCAGGGAATGGTCCCTTCTTACAACATGACCAAAATAGGTGAGACGAAGTCTGGCCACTCTTGCTTCCAAGGAGCATTCTGGCTGCACTTCCTCCAGGACAGATCTGTTAGTTCTTTTAGCAGTCCACGGTACTTTCAGCATTCTTCGCCAGCACAACAACTCAAAAGCATCAACTCTTCTTCGGTCTTCCTTATTCATTGTCCAGCTCTCACATGCATACCAGGCGATTGGAAATATCATGGCTTGTGTCAGGCGCACCTTAGTCCTCAAGGAGATATCCTTGCTCCTCAGCACTTGAAACAGTTCCTTCGCAGTTGACTTCCCCAATGCTACACATCGTCTAATGTCCTGATTGATGCTTCCGTTGGCATCGATTGTAGAACCAAGCAACGTGAATTCCTTGACAACCTCAATCTTCTCTCCATTTATTGTGATGCTGCTCATTGGTCCAGTTGTGAGGATTTTTGTTTTCTTTATGTTGAGATGTAATCCATACTGCAGACTGTATTCTTCAACCTTCATCAGTAGGTGCCTTAAGTCATCCTCACTTTCAGCAAGCAAAGTTGTATCGTCTGCATATCTCAGGTTGTTAATGATTCTTCCTCCAATCCTGATACCACGTTTTTCTTCATATAGTCCAGCTTCTCGGATTATTTGCTCAGCATATAGATTGAATAAGTGTGGAGAAAGAATACAACCCTGACACACTCCCTTCTTGATTTTAAACCATGTAGTGTCCCCTTGTTCTGTTTGAACGACAGCCTCCTGGTCAAGGTACAGATTCCTCATGAGTACAATCAAGTGCTCGGGAATTCCCATTCTTCTCAATGTTATCCATAATTTGTCATGATCCACACAATCCAATGCCTTTGCATAGTCAATAAAACACAAGTAAACATCTTTCTGGTATTCTTTGCCTTGAGCCAAGATCCATCTGACAACAGCTATGATATCCCTTGTTCCACGTCCTCTTCTGAATCCGGCTTGAACCTCTGGAAGTTCTCTATCAATATACTGCTGCAAACGTTTCGGAATTATCTTCAGTAAGATCTTACTTGCATGTGATATTAATGATATTGTTCTATAATTTCTACATTCTGTGGGATCACCTTTCTTTGGAATGGGCACCAATATGGATCTCTTCCAGTCAGTTGGCCAGCTAGCTGTCCTCCAAATCTCTTGGCATAACTGAGTGAGTGCCTCCAATGGGGCATCTGTTTGTTGAAATATCTCAGTCGGTATGCCATCAATTCCTGGAGCCTTGTTCTTCGCCAGTTCTTTCATTGCAGCTTTGACTTCTTCCTTCATTACCATTGGTTCTAGATCATATGCCACTTCCTGAAAAGGATGAAGATCGATCAATTCTTTTTGGTACAGTGACTCTGTGTATTCCTGCCATCTTCTCTTGATGTTTCCTGCATCATTCAATATTTTGCCCATAGAATCTCTCAATATTGCAACTCGAGGCTTCAATTTTTTCTTCAGTTCTTTCAGTTTGAGAAATGCTGAGCATGTTCTTCCTTTTTGGTTTTCAGACTCCAGGTCTTTGCACATTTCATTATAGTAATTGGCTTTGTCTACTCGAGCTGCTCTTTGAAATCTTCTGTTCAGCTCTTTTACTTTTTCATTTCTTTCATTTGCTTTAGTGATTCTCTGCTCAAGGGCAAGGTTCAGAGTCTCTTCTGTCATCCACTTTGGTCTTCCTTCTTTTCTTGTCTTTTTAGTGATCTCTTGCTTTCTTCATGGATAATGTTCTTGATATCTTCCCATAATTCATCTGGCTTTCAGTCATTGGTGTTCAATGCATCAAATCTATTCTTTAGATGATCTCTAAATTCAGGAGGGATATATTCAAGATCATATATTGGCTCTCTTGGACTTGTTTTAATTGTCTTTAACTTCAAGTGGAATTTACTGGACATACTGCATTCTATTATATTCTGCCCAGAAGCAGAAGTTCATTTGTAAGTGAATTGAGTGATACATAGTACTTTTGGAAGATAGTTAAAGTATCTGTGGCTCTCTTTCTTTCCCTTTTTATATCATTAGTTTTTGTGACAATGATTCCTCACTCTATTTTAATACATGAATAAATATAGTATTTTTGTCCCAGGGCATAGTTTACTACTGTTTGATTTTCCCCTTGAAGTTCTTGCTAACAAAATCTGATAATCGGGGATCATAAACATTGGGTTATATGTAAATTTTACCATTGCAGCAATTAATTACAACTTTTTCTTCTGTGTATGTAGTTTCAGATAATAATGAAGACGCTGGTGGCGATGTTGTTCCTGAAAGAACAAGTCAAGATAGTCCAGTTAATCCCAAATGTTTGCTTGATGATAACCTTGTCTTGGGAGTTTATATTCACCGAACTGATCGACTTAAATCAGATTTTATGATATCTCACCCGATGGTAAAAATACATGTGGTTGATGAGAATACTGGTAAATATGTCAAGAAAAATGATAGGTAAATTTTTTTTTAAATTGCCTTACCAATTCTTGAAATTGAAACTATCTGTAGTAGAAGTCTTGTTTTTCTACCACTGATCGTTGAAAGTCAGCGGAAATAGAGCTGTGGATTTGTACTAAAAATAGGTGTAGGTGTTCATCATACCATTGACATTAATCACTGTATTTTATGGAAAAAATGGAAAGTATTTGTTAATTCAGCAATTCAGCGTAAGTAGACTGGAGTTGGAGCTTCTACCAAGCTTAAAGCCAGTTGCCACTGAGTCAATTCCAAGTCATAGAAACACTAAAATTGTGAGAGAATTGTGCTCTATAGGGTTGTCAATGACTGATTTTTCTAAGGAGTTCACCAGGCCTTCCTTTGGAAGTGCTTCTGAGTGGATGGTTAGCAGCCAAGCACGTTATCCACTTATACCAGCCAGGGCGTCTTCTACCAGGCTTAATGATTAATTTATGGGCTTTAACTTACATTACAAATCATCTTATAAATGGTGTGTCCATATGTATTCATTTATATCTACTGAATTATTTTATCACAGATTTATTTAAGATTCTGAAAGAGTTGCTTTATTTCAGCTCAAAGGTATAATTATACCTCTTTATTTTTTTTATGATAAAATAATTTCTGTGAAACAAACTGATAAGATATAAATGAAAGGTAAAAGATATCATAATATTTATAATTTTCTAGGTGAAAAACCAAAATAATTTTTCTTTTGTATCATTGTGGCTATTCATTACTGCTGATTGTCTCACTTTGTACACTGTATTTTTATTTTTCCTCAACTTCTTAAAGTTATCATATAGAGTTGTGTTAATGGAAGTATTTTTTTTTTTTCTTCATGAGCAGCGAACGGCCTGTTTCATCTTACTCTGAAAAAGAGAGTGTGGATTATATTCTTCCTATTATGACCCAGCCATATGATTTTAAGCAATTAAAATCAAGACTTCCGGAGTGGGAAGAACAAATTATATTTAATGAAAAGTTTTCCTACTTGCTTCATGATTTTGATGAGAGCCCTAAAGTTATCCTGTTCTTTGAGGTATGAATTGATTAGAACAATTTAAATAAATTGTAATTAATCATATTACCAGTAGCACAAATGTAAGCAATTATTTTTAGTAGTTCAATAATGTATTCAGAGTTGTGTAAGAATTTAATCCATAGAATTTAGTGTTGTAATATGTTATGGAGATCCAAGTGAGAGGGCTTTTACAAGTGATAGTCTAGTTGCTAAGTATTAACTAGTGTCAGTAGCTAGCACTTTGGAAGGCTGTGTAGCATTTAGTCCTTAAACTCCATGATCATTAACTGTTAACTGAAGTGATGAACCTAACCTGTATGGGTGAATGCACAGCCTCTAATCTTAACCAGTTTCACAAAGTGCACGCTTGTTTAACTCTATCAAACACTCTAAGAGTTTGTAATCTATCTGGCAAGAAAAGGATACGCAGCTCAGTTGCCCAATTCAGTGTAATATATAACCAGAGTGACGTAGAGTTTCTTGCACATAAAGGGTTAGTGGAGGGTCAGAGCAGTCAGGGAAAGCTTTTCAGAGCAGCTGTGTTTTGAGTTGGCTTGTTAGTCTCCCTTTGCTGCTAAAGAAATCAAAGTTCTAAGTGTAAATGACTTTTCCCAAAGACATTCCACTTTTAAAGTGCATGTAATAAATATATGAAGATAACTTTGACACTATAATAATCTGTCATTCTGTATCTCTCCATAAGCTTAGGGAAGTACAAAAAACTTCCCTTCCATTTTAAGCAACATTGAGAGTTTTAGCATGGGAACAGCCAGGAGATTGACGTGACTAGAGCCAGTGATTCATTTATGGAGTTTCTTGTTTTTATGATTCTTGACTTTCATGTTATCTCTGTGTGTTCTTGAGATAAATAGTCGAACACTTGTGTCTGTGATTATAAAATGTGATTTATTTAAAGTAATAAGAGAAACATACATAATTTATATCTCAAGGAGGTTTTTCATTATCATAGAAATTTATCCTCTGATAGTTATGGTAATTTTTATATTCATTTTATTATTATTAAGAGATTTAAGAAAGATAGATTATTGGATTATTAATACTTTTGGGTTGCTTCTTAAGTTTAACAAGATGTGTTACCTATGTAACTACTTTTTAATTTTAACATTTTAAGGGTTATTGAAGACAACTTGGCATTATCTATTAGAAATCTTTAACAGGTATTTCACTTCTAGGCATTTATCTTAAGGGAAAAATGACAAATGGATAAAGATGTGTGTGCAAGAATATTTATTTTAGCATTTTTTATAATAGCAAAATTTTAAGAAGAACCTAAATTTCAATCAGTAAGAGATTTTATTAAAATACGATTTTTATTAAATGGTTGATGGTATTTATAATTCCATAGTTAAGTACTATGCAGCCATTAATGTGATATATTTACATGTATTAACATCTGTATTGACATAAAGGTATATCCATTACATACTACGTGCAGTCCCCAGATTGCAAATAAGTTCCGTTCCTAAGTCTCTCTTTTAAGGTGAATTTGTATGTAAGTTAGAACAGTTAGGTATGGTTCATATGTAACATCAGTCAAATGTTTGTCTTAGTATATAGTATACTTTCTCTGCATAAAAAAAGTTAAAACACTTCCACATACACTAAAATATCTTTAACATAGTAATACAGTAATAAATAATAATGTTTTGATGCACATCACAAAGTAACACTCATCTGTTATTATGAGCTATTGTATGTACCTTGCATTTTTAATGCAACAGTCTTTACAGAGCTTGGTTCTTAACTATAAGTAGTAAGTAAGTCAGACATTAATAACCCTGGGACTGCCTATACTTGGAATAAGTTTACAAAACAGCATTATCAGATTTATAATATTTTTACATGCATTTAGCAATGCGCAGAAGAAGGTTTAGAGCTATACCGACTAGATTGTTAATGATGATTATCTATGGGTCTGGATTTTACTTTGCTTATCTATTTTTCTATATTGTTTGAGTGTTTTTTCACTGAGCATATATTACATCTGAAAACCGATTTCAAGATGTAAAGAAGTATGATGAATGGAGTCCATATTATTTTTTAAGCTGTCTTCCATAAAGATTTTTTTTTTATCTCAACTGAGCTTTTGATAAGCAGCAGAAAGTTCAGAGTAATAGTCACTGACAAGTACTTCCAGTTTGTAAGTCTCTATGGCAGGTTGGTTGCAAAGCCATGAGCTTTAACATCCAAAGAGGGCAGAGGTATGAAGAAAAACTTTCTGAGGAGCCTCATGAGAACATGTATCCAAAAATGAAGCCCCCAACTGCAAAAAGTGACCCAAGGAAAGACCCAGAAATAGGGTCAAGAGTTTTTTTTTTAATCAAACAAGCCTTTGATGTGGACTCTGATACGTAAACAAATGCTCAAAGCTTAAGATTCTGTGCCTAGTTTATTCATGCCTAGACTATATTCAGAGCTAGTAGTTCTTTGTCTTGGATTTGAAATAAATCTTAATGAAATACTTATTAATAAAAGATAAAGTAGTGCAAATGTGTCTCCCACACATTAGGAAACAATTTTAAGTATACAAATAATATTTTATTTTCATAATGTACTATTGGAAAATATTAAATTTTAGGTAACTAAATGTTATGTGAAGTCATTTTTTTAAACTTATTTGCAGATTCTTGATTTCTTAAGCATGGATGAAATTAGGAATAACTCTGAGGTTCAAAACCGAGAGTGCAGTTTTCGGAAAATTGCCTGGGCATTTCTCAGGGTATGTTTTTCACATCCATTTTAAACACTTAAAATAGTCTTCCAGTCTGATTGGCTGCTTTCTCACAAGTCAGTTTGGTTTCATAAAATGAGTCATGGTCTAAGGTATGATTACAGTAGTAAAGAGTTATTAATTCAAACTTAGGTGATATAACTCATTCAGATTCTGAAATACTTACTGAGTGCCTCAAGTGTTCCAGGTGCATAGTTTATCCCTGAAACTCTGCCATCATTCTTTAGTTCAACAACTATTAACTCTTTCTGTGTTCCAGCCGTTATTTTAGTCAGTGAACAAAGTAGACAAAAATTCTTGACCTTGTGAAGTTCATGTTTTAGCAAGAAAAACAAGGATAAAATAATTGGTTAGAAATATATCATTTAATTACAATTTTCTTATAAATGGTGTGAAGAAGTATGGAGGGGGTGGTGAAACAGAGGGTTCTGTGGGATCAGGGAAGGCTTTCCTAAGAAAGAGACGTTTAACCTGAGTGATAGCTAGATGGTGGCAGTGGAAGGAGAGATAGTTCTAGGCGGAAGGTTTGAGTCTATGCAAATAATAAACTGCTTGATGTTGGAAGAAGCAAGTTGTGTTCAAACAACGACAAACTGTGATTGGAGCACAGACCTAGGGGAAGAAGGGTGCGAAGAAGGGTGCATGAAGAGTTGGGTGACAGGGAGTTTTGATTATGCAGGGACTTCTTTGCCCTTGTAGCAATGGGAAGTCATTATAGAATTTTAAAGAGCAATGGGAAACAATTAGAAAATTTTAAGCAAAAGGATGATGTAAATTAATTTATGTTTTAGAAGGCTTATTCTTCTTTGTTTAAAGTGAATTAGATATAGAGGAAGCAAATGTGGATACTAGAAGATTAAGTTAGGAAATTCTTGCAATAATCTAGATACAAAACGATGGTGTCTTTGACTAGGATGTTTTGCCAGAGATGAAAGATGTGAAAAGATGCTAAAGAGAATATTAACTTTATAATTATCCTTGATCTCTGATATCTTTTATTTCTGGCTTCACACAAATTTTAATTCTAAAAAGTCCTGAGTAGTTAGCCTATTTGTGTAACACCTTATAAAACTTTTGCATTTGTGTACCCATATTTTCAACACGTATTTATTTACTGTCTGTGAAATGCCATGCACTCTACTAAATATAGGACAGTCCAAGATAAATTAGACATTGTCCCTGCATCCAGTTCAATCCCTATGTAGACAAATTACCTATGTATTATGTGCTATGGAGAGAAATGCTGTGAAAACCCAGTTGAAGCTCAAAGTCCACGTTGGAGGCTAGAGAGAAGCTTTAGAAGAGATGCAGTCTGACTGCTGGATGGGAGACAGGTTAGCTGTGGTGAGGAAAGTCGTTCTGGAAATCCTGGCCTTCAGCATCACCTGGGCCCATGTATCATCTAAAATCACCCTTCTAACTTACAGAAGTTATAACTTCTGACTTACGGAAGGGTGATTTTAAATGGTGCGTGGGCCCAGGTAATGCTGAGGGTCATGATAAGATGACTTGACAATTAAAGGAGATCTGGTGGCGTAGTGGTTAAAGCATTTGGCTGCTAACCAAAAGGTCAGTTTGAATCCACCAGCTGCTTTGGAGGACAAAGAGGAGGCAGTCTGCTTCTGGAAAGATTTACACCCTTGGTGGAAAACCTGTGGGCTAGTTCTGCTTGTCCTAAGAGGCTTGCTATGAGTTGGAGTTGCCTTGATGGAACTGGGTTTGGTTTTATCACCAGTTACAATGGTTTCTATACCCCCTCTCATACTGATTTACTGGCAAAAAAAAAAAAAAAGAAAAAGCATAAAAACAAAGTTCTCTTTAACATAGTATATATTACCAACTTGAATCCTGTTAAAAACTGCTTCCATTTCTTTTGTGCAAAGATTTATGCAGTCCTGCAAACTTTAGTATAAATTGTACTTGAGAAACATTATTAACACATTATTGTAGTTGTTAGGTGCCATCAAGTCAGTTCCGACTCATAGTGACCCTGTGTTTAACAGGACGAAACACTAACCAGTCCTGTGCCGTCCTCATAATTGTTGTTGTGCTTGAGTTCAGTGTTGCAGCCCCTGTGTCACTCCATCTCACTGAGTCTTCCTCTTTTTGCCTGATCTTCCACTTTACCCGTCATAATGTTCTTCTCCAGGAACCAGTGCCTTCTGTCAGCATGACTCTGTCAGCATGACCAAAGTACAGAAGACGAAGTCTAGCCTTCTTCACTTCTAAGGAGCTTTCTGGCTGCACTTCTTCCAAGACAGATTTCATTTTCTGGCAGTCCATGGTATAGTCAACAGTCTTCACCAACACCGTAATTCAAATGCATCAGTTCTTTTTCGGTTTTCCTTATTCATTGTCCAGTTTTCCCATGCATGTGAACTGATTGAAAATACTGTGGCTTGGGTCAGACACAGTTTAGTCCTCAAGGTGACATCTTTGCTTTTTAACACTTTAGAGGTCTTTTGCAGTAGATTTTCCCAGTGCAATACCTATTTGATTTCTTGACTGCTGCTTCTATCAGCATTGATTGTGTATCCAAGTAAAATGAAATCCTTGACAACTTTAATCTTTTAAAAGATTATTAAGTTGTTTATTGGCACAGCTGTGTTCATTTTCTTTTCTTTATGTTGAATTATAATCCATACTGAAAGCTGTAGCCTTTGATCTTCATCAGTAAATACTTCAAGGTACTTTTCACTTTCATCAAGTAAGGTTGTGTCATCTGCATATTGCAGGCTGTTAATGAGTCTTCCTCTAGTCCTATGCTCCATTATTCATATAGTCCAGCTTCTTGGATTATTTGCTCAGCATACAGATTGAATAAGTATGATGAAAGGATACAACCCTGACATTCACCTTTCCTGATTTTAAACCACACAGTATCCTCGTGTTCCGTTTGACCACTCACCTCTTGGTCCGTGTACAGGTTTTTCATGAGCACAGTTAAATGGTCTGGAATTCCTATTCTTTGCAACATTATCCATAATTTGTTATGGTCCCCTCAGTCCCCTTTATAAATACCTTCATATAGTCAGTAAAATTCAGATAAACATCTTTGTGGTATTCTCTTCTTTTGGCCAGGGTCCCTCTGGCATCAGCAAGGATCTATCCTGAGACGTTAATGATCTAATGATATGCTCATACTCTATTAGCATATCTCATAGTATTTTTACCTTTAGATACTGTGTGTGTGTGTGTGTGTGTGTGTGTGTGTGTGTGTATATATATATAAAATCTATTTACCTGTCTTATGACATTGGAAGAGTAGGAATCAAGAATTTTCCCTGACCCTGTCCCTATTCCACATTATTATAAATTATTTTTCTGTGTGCTTCTCCTGTTGTAGCACTTACATATTACCTTTATTCACTGTATGTTGACTATTTGACTTGTTAGCAAGTTTTCTAAACATTTTTTAGTCCTTGTTTTATCAGGGTTTTTTTTGTTTGTTTTTGTTTGCATTTAATACATCACTCTCTTAAAACTTGGTTACTGTGATTTTCTTAAAACCATCCTTTCCCGGTTTTCCTTTTACTGTTCCTTTATGTTCATCCATGTCTTTTATGTTTTTCTACCTATCGGTTAAATATTGGTCCTATTTATGTTCCATCCTTGACCCACTTTTCTTAGGTGATTTCATATACTTGTAATTTGAGCTACTCCCGGGTATCTACTAAAAACTTCATGCCTGTGTTTCACACTTTTAAATGGAATTACCTACTTGAATCTCCTATAGATATCTCAGACTGTTCCAGACTGAACGTGTTATCTGACAGTTCAGTTGTAGTAGCACCATCTGCCCAGTCTCCTAAATTTACAACCTTAGTGCTACACTCTCCACTGGGTAGCCACAAGACACATGGGACTGTTTGAATTCAAGTTAATTAAATACATAATAAGTAAATTAATTTAAAAATTAAATTAAAAAAATTTTACTTTCACAGTTATACTGACCACGTTTTGAATGCGTGTAACAATTGGACACTGTGTTAGCAGGCACAAATACAGACATTTTCATCATCAGAGGCAATTTTAGCCTTTCTTAACTCTTTCCTCTTTTACTTTCCAAGTTTCATCAGTCAGGAAGACTTGGCAATTTTACCTCACAAGCAGTTATTAATTATGTTCCTTGCATGCAATCTTTATTCTTGCAGTTTAAGTCACCTTCTACTTCAACTGCTGCAAAGGTTCCCAACTCTTTCTTCCTGATTTGCAGAGGACACCAAGGCACAAAGACCTGGATCTTTCCTACTTAGGAAGCCACAGTCTGTTCTTTTTTCTAAGAATATTCATTTAGTTAGCACGAACAGAAGTTGTTTAATAGGTTTTTTTTAATAGACCTTTCTGAAAAGAGAAACGGTGCATTACTTAAAAATATAATGAATGCCGTGAATGAATGTAAATTATTTTTATCTTAATCACTTTTGAAAATGATTTTGACTTTAAAATTTAAAGAATAAAAATTTTCTTTCAAAAATACACTAAACAAATTCATAATTTTTATTGGTGTTTAAATACAAAAAGAGCACCCACACTCACTGCCATCAAGTCAGTTCTGACTCTCAGTCACCCCCATTGTGGTTCCGAGGCTCTACATCTTTACGTAAGTAGATTGCTGCATCTTCCTTCTGCAGAGCGGCTGGGGGATTTGAACCTCTGACCATCTGGTTAGCTTCCAAATGTCTTATGCACTACATCACCAGAATTTAAAATAATGGACAGTTTAATCTTTATCCTTACTATTTTAAAGAAATATGTGTGTATTTTATAAGTCAAGTCTGGCACAACAAAGTAAATGCTATCCCAACAGTCTAAAGTTACATAGGCAAAAGAGAGCCATTAGGAAAGTCATTAAGTCATTTGGGCTATCTTTCGTTCAGAATGCTCTGTTACTTAACCAGAACACTGAGTGTGTCATTGTTCTTTTCCTTTGCATTATAAATCTAAGGGATTTCAGCCTACTGTATTAATATCTTTTAACTTAGGTTTTGACAGTATACTATTGTTTTATTGAATGTATTTACCTTCAGTGAATATAATATTTTATCTGAATTCTTATTTTAAGCTTCTAGGAGCCAATGGAAACATAAACATCAATTCAAAACTTCGTTTACAGCTGTATTATCCACCTACCAAGCCTCGATTACAATCAAATGTTGTTGAGATTTTTGAATGGTGGTCAAAATGTCCGAGAAATCGTTATCCATCGACGTTATATGTAACTGTGAAAGGATTGAAACTCCCAGATTCTGTAAGTTAGTAACACAGATAAATATATATATCCTGTTACTGTAATTTAATGGTGCCATTTCTAAAAGAAAGGGTCTCTAGAATTATTTTAATAGATTTCTAGAATAAAACATCACCTCCAGAAACTGCGTATTAGTCCATAATAGCTGACACTCCTGAGATAGTTAAAATAATGTTAAGAACTAAATGCAGATTTTGGTGTTAGGAAATTTTTCTTTTTTTTTTTTTTGCTTTAATATTGGTTTTAAAAATTTAAGGATAAAAGAATGACTTAAAGAAGAGTTATCAAACATTTTGTAGGGAGGGCTAGATAATAAATATTTTATGCTTTTGTGGGCCATATGATTTCTGTCGCCACTACTTGTCTTGTAGAAGCATGCAATAGCTACATCATTATATGTAGATGTACATGTAACTGAATGAGTCAGTGTGGCTGTGTTCTAATAAAACTTTATTTACAAAAGCAAGCAGCAGGCGCATATGCCATAGTTTGCAAACCCCTGATTTAAAGACACATTTTTCACAATATTATTGAAATGATCAGTAAATAATATTTCTACTGCTGTTTTACGTGGATTAAAATTATAAATGACCTTAAAAGGAATTGATCCTAAAATGAAGTGAAATTTAGTAAATAAGTCATTGATCTGTCAGATCAGTTATACATTATATAGTTGATAGTACATGACCACAGGGTTACTGTGCTTTGGTTTGTATTGAATTAAATTAAATCCATTCTTAAGAAATGGAGACTTTAAAAAGCTGTATGTGAATTTCATGATAATCAGTTTTGTGATTTTAAAGCCAAAAATGTCACAGTAGACCAGAGCCACAGCATAACCTCTGGTGGGTATTGGTGAGGAAGCTATACAAAACCATTTCACATACTGTTTGTTACGTGCCGTCGAGTCAGCCCCGACTCATAGTGACCCCTCCTTGGGTTTCCGAGGCAGTATCACTACGGAAGTAGATTGCTCCATCTTCCTTCCGAGGAGTGGCTGGTGGGTTTGAACCAGGCTTCTGGTTAACAGTCAAGTGCCTTAGCCACTATGCTACCAGAGCTCCCCTGAAAGCTCATAGCCATTTAAAAAAGCTTTATGGAGCACAGGTCTACTGTGACACATGGGGTTGCTGTGAGTTGGGATGCACTTTATAGAACTGATTTTTTTTAATTTATTTTAGGATAATGTACAAATAAAATAATTTTTTCTGGGTTACATTTTGGAAACATGTCCATGTTGGTTTTTTGTTTCAGTATTTTTTAAAAATAAAATACATACTTAAAAGGAGAAAAACATGGACATATTATATGGACTTTCTCATTTTCTTGCCTTTTTAGGTAAGACCATCTTATCGGTCTATGATGGAGGAACAAGTTAAACCAGTATATTATGAACGTTGCTGTGAGTCAAGTCCAGTAGACTCAGAACCTGGGTTAGAAGATTCAAAGGAAATAGTCAAGTGGCAACGACTGCCTGGACAGGTAAAGTGTTTGTTACACTGGATACATTTCAGTGCTTACTTGTTTACTTTAAAAACTTTGACAGCTCCTGGTATAACTTGCTTGCTGTTCAAAACTCTCAGATTATCCTTGTTCCTAATCTAATCTTCTCATTAATTCATTTGACAAATAATATACAAGTGTCTGTCATGCTCATAAGGAGCTCTGGTGGTGCAGTGCCTGAGGCATTTGACTGCTAACCAGAAGGTTGGTGGTTCAAACCCACCAGCTGCTCCACAGAAATAAGGTGGGGCAGTCTATTTCTGTAAAGATTGACCACTTTGGAAACCCATTTGCGTGAGAGTTGGAAATTAACTCAATGGCAGTGAGTTTGGTTTTTCTTGGTTTTGGTATCATGCACATAAAAACAATATCTTAGGCTCTTAGTTTGGGGGCCTAAGCAGTCAGAAATTATGGATTTTTGATGTCTGTAAGAGAGATGTCTTCTACCCTATGGATTCATGAAATTTTATACAATACCTGGCTTCTTCCTCAGTGACATTTTAATGGAGATATGCATATCATTCCAACACAATGAGTAGCACTTAAGCTTTTACTGAAATGTTCTTAGGAGCTCTGGTAGCATAGTTCCTAAGACACTTGACTGCTAACCAGAAGGCTGGGTTTCAAACCCACCAGCCACTCCTTGGAAGGAAGGTTGGGCAATCTACTTCTGTAGTGATACCACCTCAGAAACCCAAGGAGGGTTGTTATGGGTCGGGTCTGACTTGACAGCACATAGAAACAACAACAACAACAAAATGGTCTTACTTGGTTAGCATTTCTTACAGTGGGCAGAAGCTCTGCTGGTACAATTTTACATGTTACTTGCTTTCATAAAGAAATGTGATGGTACATTTGATATGTCTGGGCCATTACCAGATGCATTTTATCCAGATTTCTAATATACAATTAAGAATGATTTTCTACACCTTGTCATTTTCTGTGTTTTGCATCACATTTGATTTTCTTATTGAAGCCAGTTTTACAGATATATTTTAGGGACCTTCCCTATTGGCTAAGGAAATAATAAGAAAGCAGTTCAATATTGTTCAACTGAAGTGTGTTTTAGAGAAGTCTTTAGGAAGGAAAGGTATAAAAATAGTGGTGTAGATCAGCACTTCCCAGCGTGTAGTTTGGGAGACCCTGGGAGACCCAGAGAGCCTTTCAGTAAATCCGCAAGGTAAACGTGTTTTCATCATAATTCTAAGATGCTATTTTTCTTTTTCTGTCTCATTCTTTCACAAGTACACATTGGAGTTTTCCAGAGGCTGCATAATTTGTGATATCACAATAAAATTAATACAGTTATGAAAATCCAGCTATCTTTTATTAAGCCAAACTTTAAAGACATTTTCAAACCTGTAGAATAATTTCATTTTATATCATTATTTTTCATAAAATTATGTTTTTTGTGTTAACATATTTGCTAGTGTTACTTTTAAATTTCCCAATTTTCATTTCTGAGATGATAAATATTAATATAATTACATAAATAAAAGTTTTGGGGGGTCCTCAAAAAAAATTAAGAATGTAAAGCATCCTGGAAACAAAGAAGTGTGAGAATTGTAGACATAAAGAAGGTGACCTGGAGTTGTGGGAGAAAGGTTCATTTAACACATTGGTGGAGCTTGAGATAAAATTTAAAGGGTGTCTAAGAGGTGGGTTCAGAGGGAGAGTAAAAGGTATTTTGAAATGTTCTTAGGAGCTCTAGTAGTGTAGTTCCTAAGGCACTATGCTAAAATTCTCTTCTGAATCCAGTTTGAATTTCTGGCAATTTTCTGTTGATGTACTGCTGCAATCATGTTTGAAGTATCTTCAGCAAAATTTTACTTGCATGTGGTATTAATGATACTGTTCAATAATTTCTGTACCCTACTGTAACACCCTTCTTTGGAATAAGCACGAATTTTTAGGAGAGAAAAGTTCTCAACAAATGGGAAAGGACCTCTTACATTAATCAAGCACTCAAAAACTTAGATAGCTGGAAACTAGAGTTTGTTTAGGAGAGAAAATAGTAACGATAGTTTAGGCTTATATTTTTGGGTATCTTCAATGGTAGTTTACTCTACTGGCTTATGTGGGATGTGAGAAATAACAGAAGGATTATGGGTAGGAGAGAGGCATAATAACAATTGTATTAAAGGGCAACTGAATGTTAGCAAAGGTATATAACACACATTGAAGTAAAATACATCAGAATTAGGGAACATGAGTGGATAGGAGTTGCAGTCATTGATGTGTGAGGTGATAAAGGTCTAACCTTTGATGATTAATGAAAATGAAAACTAAGGGATGAGTATAAGACATAGAAATAGGAACCAGCATCATTTAGTGACTGACAGATAGTGAGGGAAGGAAGAGTCCGTGATTTTGGGAACCTGTATAGATTGGCACAGTAGCTGCAACAGTGGGCTCAAACATGGCAGTGATCATGAGGATGGAGCACTACCATGCATGTAGTATGACCTTAATTACATCCCACCTGAATTTACAGACCATCTGAAGAACAGATTTCATGCACTGAATACCAGTGACCAAAGACCAAAGGTGTTGTGTGATGACATCAAGAACATCATGTGAAGAAAGCAAAAGGAAAGGAAGAAAAGACCAAAATGGATGACAGAAGAGACTCTGAAACTTGGTGTTAACAGAGAGTAGCTTAAATGAATGGAAGAAATGATAGAGTAAAAGATCTGAACAGATGGTTTCAAAGGTCAAAAACAAAGTATTTGTCAAGAGGACAAGGTAAAGTATTAAGAAATGTGCTAAGACTTAGAATTAGAAAATCAAAAGGAATGAAGTTGCTTGTCATTTCTGAAGCTGGAAGAACTGAAGAAAAAATTCAGACCTTGAGCTGCAGTGTTGAAGAGTTTTAAGGGCTAAATGCTGAATGGTGCAGGAAGCATCAGAAGAGGACGGATGGAATACACACAGTCGCTGTACCAAAAAGAATTTGTCAACATGCAGCCACGTCAGGAGGGAGGATATGATCAAGAACTGATAGGTGTTGAAAGAAGAGTTCCGAGCTGAACTGAAGGCGTTGGCAAAACAAGGCTCCAGTAATTAATGGACTACCCATTGAGATGTATCAACAGATGTATGCAATGCTGGAGGTGCTCACTTGTTTATGCCAAGAAATTTATAAGATTGCTGCCTGATCAGCTGACAGAGATCCATATTTGTGCTTATTCCAAAGAAGGGTGTCCAGTAGGGCACAGAAATTATTGAACAGTATCATTAATATCACATGCAAGTAAAATTTTGCTGAAGATACTTCAAACGTGATTGCAGCAGTACATCAACAGAAAATTGCCAGAAATTCAAACTGGATTCAGAAGAGAATGTGAAACAAGGGATGCCATTGCTGATGGCAGATGGGTTTTGATGAAAGAAAAGAATACCAGAAAGATGTTTACCTGTGTTTTATTAGTTATGCAGAGGCATTTAACTGTGTGGATCATAACAAATTATGAATATCATTGTGAAAAGTGGGAATTCCAGAACACTTATGCGCGCTCATGAGGAACCTGTACGTAGACTAAGAGGCAAGTATTCAAGCAGAACAAGGGAATATTGCATAATTTAAAATCAGGAAAGGTGTGCATCAGGTTTGTAACCTTTTACTATACTTATTCAATCTGTGTGCTAAGCAGATAGTCCAAGAAATTGGACTATATGAAGAAGAATGTGGAATCAGGATTGGAGGAAGACTCATTAACAATCTGCAGTAAGCAGATGCTGTAGCCTTCCTTGGTAAAAGTGAAGAGTACTTGATGTACTTACTGATGAGAATCAAAGACTGGTGCCTAAGACATTTGACTGCTAATCAGAAGGCTGGCGGTTCAAACCCACCAGCCACTCCTCAGGAGGAAGACTGGGCAATCTTCTTCTGTAGAGATACTGCCTCAGAAACCAAGGAGGTGTTGCTGTGAGTCTCAGTCGACTCAATGGCAGTGAGTTTTTGTTTTTTTTTTTTCAGTTTTATACTTCAACATAAAAAATCAGAAATCCTCACACTGGCCTAATAAACAACATCATGATAAATGGAGAAAAGACTGAAGTTGTCAAACGTTTCATTTACTTGAACCCAGAATCACTGCCCTGGAAGCAGCAGGTAAGAAATCAGACAGCATGTTACATTGGGCAAATTTGCTGCAGAAGACCTCTTTAAAGTACTTAAGAACAAAGATGCTATTTTGAAGACTGAAGTTCATCTGACCCAAGCCATAGTATTTTCAGTAGCTCCGTATGTCTATGAGAATTGGACAATGAATAAGGAAGACAGTAGGAAAATTGATGCATTTAAATTGTGGTATTGGTTAAGGATACCGAATGTATCATGAACTCATGGAAGAATGAATAAATCTAATCTGTCTTGAAGGAAGTATGCCAGGAATGTTCCTTAGAAGCAAGTAACAGCCAGACTTGCTCTGTCATTCTTTGGTCGTGTTGTCAGATGGGACCAGTCCCAGGTTTATCATGCTGTGTAAAGTAGGAGGTCAGTGAAAAAGTGGGAGGAGATGCATTGACACAGTGGCGGTGATGCTGAGCTCAAGCATGGCAATGATTATGAGGATGACACAGGACTAGACAATGTTTGTACATAGGGTTGTTATGAGTCAAAACCAACTCAGCAGCACCTAACAAAACTTAACTGCTCATGACTCTGCCTCCAGGTAGTGCTAAATCTTGACCCTGTTGGTAGAGAACCTGATACCTGTCTAGAGCAAGCTCTTGAACTGAGAGTCTTTGACTAGTCCCATTAAGCTGGGTTTGACCTGCTGCATAATCCTTATTAGCTGTTTATAGCTAATAATATATGCAGCTATGTATAAATAATCATGGCTACTCATAGGGTTGCTGTGATAAATATATGAAAACACATTTGTAATAACATGCAACATTCATGTCATGTAGTAAGGGCCCAATATATGTTTAATTTAACTTTTAAATAATACAAGAACTGATATTTATTGATGGTTGGAAGAAGTTGAACTAGGATAAATAAAAGTAAATAATATTTTCCACAGGACATATTAATACCTAAAAAAAATTTAGTTACGTTTTGTTGCAGCTAAGGTAAATAAAAAAATTATTAAGAAATCTTAATAAATAAAATTAATGAATGAGAAACCTGTAGGGGTAGTTGGCTACTTTGAAAGTACAAAGGATGGTTATTTTGAGATAAAAAGAGAAAATGAACATCAGTACATGATGAACTTCACTTATAGTGGCCCTGTTGTTGTTGTTGTTAAGTGACGTCGAGTCGTTTCCGACTCATAGCGACCCCATGCACAGCAGAACGAAACACTGCCCGATCCCGCGCCA